TTGGTTCCCTCATTGTCCGTGCATCCTGACTCTCCACACAAACCACCAGTGACGTGGCTCCACTCACAGCTCTCAACCACTGCCATGGAAACTGCCTCTTTCTGGTCTCAATTGAAAGGGCTTCTGGGAGAACTGCTTGTAGGCACTCCACACCATTCCCCTTCTCTATAGACCTGCTGCACATTACAGAAACGAGCCCCTCGTTACCTGAAGGGCCCCTCATTTCTTCCACCCACATCCCTGTGGGGCTGTTGAGCAATGTAAGCATGGCATCGCAGCATCCTGCTCACCAGAGTTCCCACCTGCTTCCCGCACCTGTTTTCTTAGGTTCCTGATCCAAGGAGAAAGAAAAGATGACTCAACCTTGCATGTATGTTTATCCTGCTGGCGGGACGTCATTAAATATGGAAAATCATGCAAATAGAGTTCCCCAAAAAATGGATCTCTGGATAGTCAATTCCCCCTGGATTTACTGTGTCCACAGCTGGGAAACTTGGCTCCTCAAAAAAGACACTTTCAAGATCCAGAATAAAGGAGAGAGGATAAAGCCATGACCTCTCAGTGGTGTGAACAGAGCCGCAGATGTGAGAGCCTGGTGTGGAGGCAATATCTTCTGCTGAGACTGCCGTTTACCAAGACCTCCTATTCGCAGCGACTTAAGAGGGGCCATGCAGTCCTCCCAGTAATCCTGCCGACGATCACCCCCATCTTAGCCATACGCATGAGGATTCTGGTAAAGGATGGAAGGAACCATATTTTTTTTAAAAGGGGTGATTACACCATTAATGATTATTCATTAAATCAAAAATGTTTTCACATTTGCCTTTGAATAAGTCTGACAGGAAGCTACCCTGAGTTCGAAACTTTAAGCAATTCGAGGTTAGAGATCAATCTCTCCTGAAGCCCTTTTGAGTAAGAGAATAAAGTCTGTGTCTCTCTCAGGCCAGCACACCTTCTTCCCAATGTCAGTCATTGATACAAAAGGTCCCCTACACAAGTTACAATATCTAAACATATCATGGCAGCTCCATTTTTGCCACTGCAACTATAAATATGATTAAATAGTACTTTCCAACTATACCAAAGATCTTAAGGTTTTTGAACCAGCAAGAATCTCAGAGACTGATATCCCTGCATTTCAAAGAGATGACAACTGAAGCCTAAGCAGGCAATGTGCTCAACTAAGTTTCTTATTTTGAACTATGTAAAGACAAAAAGTTAGTATTGTAAGAAAAAAATATTTTCTCCCTGATGTTTTCTCTTTTTTAAAAATTAATTTATTTTAATTGGCAGCTAATTACAATATTGTGGTGGTTTTTGCCATACATTGAACTATGTAAAGACAAAAAGTTAGTATTATAACAAAAAAGATTTTCTCCCTGATGTTTTCATAACTCCCTCTAGTATTGAGAAAAGTGAAAACAGTACATGAATGCAGCCCCAGTACAGATCCCCACAGCCTGAAGGGAGTAAGGAGAAGAGGGAGCGCTCTGAGAGAGCTGAGGCTCTGAAAGTGCAGAAGGCTCTGAGCGCTAGTGTCGGAAAGTGTCAGGGAAAAGCGGAGACACTGCACACTCTAGGGATGCAGGGAGGGCACATTTGTTTATTCTGCAGATTAAGGTAAAACCGTTGCATGGTCCCATCCACCAAAAGCAAGAGATCCAGTATCTTATAATAATGGCTCGCTCCCCTTCCCTAAACTGTATGAAACTCCAGGAGATTACACATTTTGAAACTCTTGTTGGGTAGGGAAGACCTCCTATGTCTCTCTTGCTTGGACCCTGGAACTAGCCATCCATTCAGAGCCCCCACCATCTACCCAGTGTCCCCCCATCTATCCAGTGTCCCCCCATCTATCCAGTGTCCCCCCATCTATCCAGTGTCCCCCCCATCTATCCAGTGTCCCCACCATCTATCCAGTGTCCCCCCATCTATCCAGTGTCCCCACCATCTATCCAGTGTCCCCCCATCTATCCAGTGTCCCCCACCATCTATCCAGTGTCCCCCCATCTATCCAGTGTCCCCACCATCTATCCAGTGTCCCCCCATCTATCCAGTGTCCCCCCATCTATCCAGTGTCCCCCCATCTATCCAGTGTCCCCACCATCTACCCAGTGTCCCCACCATCTACCCAGTGTCCCCCACCATCTATCCAGTGTCCCCCCATCTATCCAGTGTCCCCCCATCTATCCAGTGTCCCCCCATCTATCCAGTGTCCCCCCCATCTATCCAGTGTCCCCACCATCTATCCAGTGTCCCCCCATCTATCCAGTGTCCCCCCATCTACCCAGTGTCCCCCCCATCTATCCAGTGTCCCCCCATCTACCCAGTGTCCCCCCATCTATCCAGTGTCCCCCCATCTATCCAGTGTCCCTCCATCTATCCAGTGTCCCTCCATCTATCCAGTGTCCCCCACCATCTATCCAGTGTCCCCCCATCTATCCAGTGTCCCACCATCTACCCAGTGTCCCCCCATCTATCCAGTGTCCCCACCATCTATCCAGTGTCCCCCACCATCTACCCAGTGTCCCCCCATCTATCCAGTGTCCCCCCATCTACCCAGTGTCCCCACCATCTATCCAGTGTCCCCACCATCTATCCAGTGTCCCCACCATCTATCCAGTGTCCCCCCATCTATCCAGTGTCCCCACCATCTACCCAGTGTCCCCACCATCTACCCAGTGTCCCCACCATCTACCCAGTGTCCCCCCCACCTATCCAGTGTCCCCACCCTCTATCCAGTGTCCCCCCCATCTATCCAGTGTCCCCCCATCTATCCAGTGTCCCCCCATCTATCCAGTGTCCCTACCATCTACCCAGTGTCCCCCCATCTATCCAGTGTCCCCCCATCTATCCAGTGTCCCCCCATCTATCCTGTGTCCCTCCATCTATCCAGTGTCCCCCCATCTATCCAGTGTCCCCACCATCTATCCAGTGTCCCCCACCATCTATCCAGTGTCCCCACCATCTATCCAGTGTCCCCCACCATCTACCCAGTGTCCCCCCATCTATCCAGTGTCCCACCATCTACCCAGTGTCCCCACCATCTACCCAGTGTCCCCCCATCTATCCAGTGTCCCCCCATCTATCCAGTGTCCCCCACCATCTACCCAGTGTCCCCCCATCTATCCAGTGTCCCCCCATCTATCCAGTGTCCCCCCATCTACCCAGTGTCCCCACCATCTATCCAGTGTCCCCACCATCTACCCAGTGTCCCCCCATCTATCCAGTGTCCCACCATCTACCCAGTGTCCCCACCATCTATCCAGTGTCCCCCCATCTATCCAGTGTCCCCCACCATCTATCCAGTGTCCCCCCATCTATCCAGTGTCCCCACCATCTATCCAGTGTCCCCCCATCTACCCAGTGTCCCCACCATCTACCCAGTGTCCCCCCATCTATCCAGTGTCCCCCCATCTATCCAGTGTCCCCCACCATCTATCCAGTGTCCCCCCATCTATCCAGTGTCCCCCCATCTATCCAGTGTCCCCCCATCTACCCAGTGTCCCCCCATCTATCCAGTGTCCCCCCATCTATCCAGTGTCCCCCCATCTACCCAGTGTCCCCCCATCTATCCAGTGTCCCCCCATCTATCCAGTGTCCCCCCCATCTATCCAGTGTCCCCCCATCTATCCAGTGTCCCCCCATCTATCCAGTGTCCCACCATCTACCCAGTGTCCCCACCATCTACCCAGTGTCCCCCCATCTATCCAGTGTCCCCCCATCTATCCAGTGTCCCCCACCATCTACCCAGTGTCCCCCCATCTATCCAGTGTCCCCCCATCTATGCAGTGTCCCCCCATCTACCCAGTGTCCCCCCCATCTATCCAGTGTCCCCCCATCTATCCAGTGTCCCCCCCATCTATCCAGTGTCCCCCCATCTATCCAGTGTCCCCACCATCTACCCAGTGTCCCCACCATCTACCCAGTGTCCCCCCATCTATCCAGTGTCCCCCCATCTATCCAGTGTCCCCCCATCTATCCAGTGTCCCCACCATCTACCCAGTGTCCCCACCATCTACCCAGTGTCCCCCCATCTATCCAGTGTCCCCCCCATCTATCCAGTGTCCCCCCACCTATCCAGTGTCCCCCCATCTATCCAGTGTCCCTACCATCTATCCAGTGTCCCCCCCATCTATCCAGTGTCCCCCCACCTATCCAGTGTCCCCACCATCTATCCAGTGTCCCCCCCATCTATCCAGTGTCCCCCCCATCTACCCAGTGTCCCCACCATCTATCCAGTGTCCCCCCCACCTATCCAGTGTCCCCCCCATCTATCCAGTGTCCCCCACCATCTATCCAGTGTCCCCCCCATCTATCCAGTGTCCCCCCATCTACCCAGTGTCCCCCCATCTACCCAGTGTCCCCCCATCTATCCAGTGTCCCCACCATCTATCCAGTGTCCCCACCACCTATCCAGTGTCCCCACCATCTATCCAGTGTCCCCCCATCTACCCAGTGTCCCCCCATCTATCCAGTGTCCCCACCATCTATCCAGTGTCCCCACCATCTACCCAGTGTCCCCACCATCTATCCAGTGTCCCCACCATCTATCCAGTGTCCCCACCATCTGTGTATTCTGGTCTAATGCTGCTACTCTTTCATGCAGAAAAGTCTTCCAGGCCAAAACAGACCTTGAAAACGAGGTCATGACTTTCATGTACCTTCCAATGCCCCATACCCCTAGAGGTGCAATGCCAGAGCTGCTTCCAGCATCTCCCCACTGTGAAATCTGCAGCCATCTTCGCAGGAACTCACCAGGGTTCAGGCTGCTTACTTCTTCAACCTCACTAAACTATGTGAACATCCCACTGTTTTCTTCCACAGATGTATTTATGAGTTCATCAGAGAAGGCCCAGGCCTCGGAAGAACAAAGCCCAAAGCACTCAAGTGAAACAGTTTTATTTAGTAGGTCCGGGGTTCTAAGGAGGTGCTCACAGAGTGCCTGGCAGACGCCGGTGCTGGCCGTAAGTTCTTCAGCCCGCGCCACACGCCTGGCCATGGAGAAGCTTCAGCGGCTTAGCAAGGTCACCCAGAAGAGCGGAGACTCGGGTTCAGATAGGGGTCCCCAGCGCCTGGGGTCCGAGACAGCACATTCCGCTTTCCCCTTGCGAGCTCTGGAGACCCACAGAACCACAGAGTCGAAACGGCGGGCCTCAGGGAGACCACCTGCCCTGCTGGTATTTCAGCCCCCTCGCTGTGCCTGCGAGGGGTGGGCGCACGCATCCCTGGACGGGCCTCCGTGGCTCGGACTAAAGGCTACCTCCCTCCAGTTTTTCCGGGACAGGCTGGCTCTGGCCTTCTTCCTCTCGACAGCATCTCGGAGCTCAAATGAAAGCGCTCCTGTCATCTTTCCATCACTCTATTTCAACCTAGTCATCCCCAGCTTCTTCTACTTTTTCATCTATGACTGATTTCAACCATCTGCCTTTTATTTCTGGGGTGAAGCTGGGTCCTGAGAGGGTTTGAAAGAAGCATCAGCTATTGTCAGTGACCTTACTGGGCATTTGTGTTGAGTGAATCCTCAGCCCATTCTTTGGGAGGCTCTACCAGGTGCTAGAAGCTTTCAAACACAGCTCATCCTTGAAAACCTCGCATGGTGGGTAATGAGATGTTTACCTGTAATTACCTCAGAGCAAAGGTTAAGCACTTTGGAATACTGAAGACATTTTAAAAGATTATTTGCAAGATTTGCAAGAGGGAAAAATATGAGAACATCTGTTCTTTAAAATCACCGTAAAATATTCATGTACAAGTAACTTAAAAATACTGAGCAGTAAATCTCTTTGGAGTTAACTGGGTATGTGAGTTCAGAAAATCTCTGCTGGGAAGAGAATTTTCCCTCAGAGTCCCTTCCTAACTCTTTTTATCTTACAATTTTCTTTATAATACTACACCTTTCCTGGGGGATCATTGCCATGATATTTAAATAGGCGTTTTTTTTTTTTTAATAAGGAATTTTAAAATAGCTCTTTCTTGGCAAACCAGAGTAGCTCTTTTGGAACTGTTCTAGTCTTTGGGATAAACACTATGTAAAGCGGTGTTTGTGCTGTGAACCCGGAGATTCACCTGAAGATTCACCCCACGGTGCCCTCCACAGAGCAGCTGTGTGTTTATGAATTTCATTCTAGCCTCAAATATAGAAAGGCCCTGGGAAGGCCCCTGGTACTGGGACATTTTGCATCCTTTTCTAATGTCTATGTGACTCTCCATTTGAGGACTCTTGTAGGAGTCAGGCAATCTTGACATGATCTTGGTGACTTTAGGGTAAGGTCAAGATAGAATTCTCTTAGATCATAAAAGATCTCCAGGCCTCTTTTATATGCAGTTCTTGTTGGCAGAGTTTGGATAGGATTCTACTGAAAGAAAACAACTACAGACCTGACCCACTTTATAAAATTTTTGATGCCTAAATAAGATTGCCAAATTTAGGAAAAAATAAATAAATAATGGCCAGATAAATTTCAGATAAACAACAATTTTTAGTATGTCCTGAAGACTTATTTCATATGGCAACACCATACCCAAATTCAGAGTCAACCGCCCTATGTTAATTTTCCTTAATGGACTTTAGTGATAACTCTATCGTGGAATAGAATAAAAATTGCATCTATTTTTTTAAATCTCTATGAAAGATGTAACAAATCCTTTCTTGACAAAAGAAATATGTGCCAATTGAGGCATATGGCTAGTCTCACCCAATGTATGTGCCTTGTACAGAATTGGAATCTGGGCCTCCACTCACTTCTTAAGAGCTGATAATTAGGAGAAACTACAAATGAGCTCAAAACCAAAAAAAAAAAAAAGATAAAGGGGGAAGGAAATGATCTGCACCTGAGGAAATGTGATGAGGCAAAGGGTCTCCATAGTGTTGTTTTCTCCTGCATCTAGCAGTGTGCAAAACACAATAAACACTGTAAAATAATGTATGAATGAATAAATGAATGAATAAAAATCATTCTAAAGCCTCTTTCCCAAGCCTCTGCTATAAGGCATCTAGGGGCCTTTCAGATCTCAGTGTTGTGTTAAGCTCTAAAAAGATGAGACTAATTAGGCTTTAAAACATGTGGCTGTGTGAGTGAATGAGTTTTGACAAGAAAAAAATTTCTCTTCTTTAAATAGGACTCTGCTTCTTACCTGAGATGGAATAGATAAAACAGGCTGAAGTCTGAGAAGCCATGTAACAGTTTCCCAGTAGAGGCATTCATGAGGAAACATTCTCAAAAACAATGGACATGACCAATACTCCAACCTTGCCCCATAATTTTTTTTTTTATTAAAGAGGGCCACCCCATGTTGAAATGTTAATATACACAATAGAAAGCCCGGAATCAGAGAATCTGAATGGAAGGACTGTAACAGAGCAGAGGGAAGTGGGATGGGATGGGATAGGACAGAAGGCATAGAAGTGGAACACCTGAGCTGATGACCCGTGAAGGCACTGTGTCTTATGTCTCTCTGGCATGAGAATTTTTCAATAAGAATGTTACAAGTATTTTTGAGACATCTGTTAATGTACTGACCAGAAGGTCTGCTCTAAGTAATCAGGCAATAGGATAGATGTATTTAACTGCTGTTAAGTGAAGAGTTACTTAATGTTCTAGTGCAAAGCCTGGGAAACCAAAGATGATTTAAGTTTCAATCACCTCAGCTGAGTGTGCACCGGACTTGTTCCCTCTCCTACCATTCTTTGATCCTTGAATTTGGTTTGTATCTGATCAATTTCTTGCAAAGTAGCACAGGTAAAAGTGTTAATGGCAACTCTTTGCGACCCCATGAACGTATAGCCAGCCAGGTTCCTCTGTCCATGGAATTCTCTAGGCAAGAGTAGTGGAGTGGGTAGCCATTCCTTCCTCCAGGGGATCTTCCCCACCCAAGGATTGAACATGGGTCTCCCACTTTGCAGACATAGTCTTTACCACCTCAACACCAGGGAAGCCCACAAGAAAAAATAGCTGGAATAGATAGCCATTCCCTTCTCCAGGGGATCTTCCCGACCCAGGAATCGAACCCGGGTCTCCTGCATTGCAGGTGGATTCTTTACCAGCTGGGCTTCCAAGGAAGCCCTCAAAGACTGCAATGCAGGAGACCCCAGTTCGATTCCTGGGTCGGGAAGATCCCCCTGGAGAAGGGACAGGCTGCCCACTCCAGTATCCTGGGGCTTCCCTGGTGGTTCAGACGGTAAAGAATCCGCCTGCAATGCAGGAGACCTGGGTTCAGCCCCTGGGTTGGGAAGATCCCCTGGAGAAGGGAATGGCTGCCCACTCGAACATACTGGCCTGGAGAAGTCCATGGACAGAAGAGCCTGGTGGGCTACAGTCCCTAGGGTCGCAAAGAGTGAAAGACATGACTGAGCGGCTTCACTTCATTTCAATTCCATGAGATGACACTAGCTAGAAAAATGCAAGTGACTAGTCCATAGTTTTTCCTATAAAAGGAGAATCTTTCCATATAAAAGAACCAGAATCCCTATTTTCCATGATTCAGATAGAAAAATGTTTATCTTCTATCACATAAATGCATATTTTAATAGATTTTTACTGTTATTTTGCTCACCCTAATTTACTTTGAAGCTTCTTCAAAAACCTCAATGTGGATATTTTATTTTCTAAAATTTATTGAAGTAAATAGGGACAATGAATAGTCTCCAGTACTATATATTAAATTTTAAGAAGGTATTTTCTGTACTATAGTAGGCAGAAAACAGGTATTATATAAAATCACTTAAAGAAGCAAACAAGCTTTTGTAATCTCTTTTGCAGCAATAAGTTCTTCAGCACTACACATACAGTTGCTTTAATAAAATGTTTTTATTTGATCTGAAATTTTATTTGAAAATGAAAAACAAGTTTTTAACTTAAGTATGTTAAATTGGTCGATCTGATCAATGTAAAGAACTGAATTGTGTTGTCTTTGTTTGGAAATGTCTTACCAATCCATCCTTATCCAAAAATGTATGTAAGGTAATATAACCCAAAACACATGTACATGGATAACTTAAAATATTAAAAAGGGACAAACCTTTTATACATTTGAAGTCAATAGACATGTTCTCTTTAGGATTTTGGGGCCGGGGGCAAAACATACAGTCTCTTCAACCATTTCCCATGTGTTGTGGTATCAGCACCTGTCAGGGACTGTGTCCCCCAAAATCCACATCTTGAAGTCCTAACCTCCAATGTGATAGTATGTGGAGATGAGGCCTTGGAGTAGTGATGAGGTCATGAGAATGACCTCATGATGGGATTGCTGCCTTTATAAAAAGACCCCAGAGAGCTGCCTTGTCTCTTCCACCATGCGAGGACACAATGAGAAGACGGCAGCCTATGAAGCAGGCCAGTCCTTAGCAGACCCCAGATCTGTCAGCATCTTGATCCTGGACGTCCCAGCCTCCAGAACTGTGAGAAATAAGTACCTGTTGTTTAAGCCGCCCAGTCTGCAGCATTTTGTTGTAGCAACACAAAAGGGTTAATATAGCACCCCTCCACTCTTTGTCCATACCCAAACATGCTCAGGTTTATAAATGACCCACTTACTGTGTGTGAAACCAAAACCTGGCCACAGAACAATGGAAAACTGGCAGGTCACCCTCCTTGTTCTGGGCACCATATTACTGGCACACAGTGCCATCTATTTTTGTTACCTTTTTGTCATTCCAAAACAGCTGTACAAAAGATTGATTTTATATTTTACTTTACTGTTGCTTATTATTAAATGAATATGAAAGTTAATATAAATATCAAGTGTCAAGATAACATTTTAAAGTATTTTAATATGCTTTTCTTTTTCCCACACCTTGTACATCACATTTGTCCTTTTCAGCCAGAGGGTCACTGCCTTGAAGAGTGTAAGGATTGTTAAAGCTGGATTGCCAAGAGAAAGATGTCAGTTCAAACTTAAACTTCCAAACGACAATCTGAAAGTTGTAAGAATCAAGAATTTCGTTTTGAAAAACGAGGTTTTGGGGGAGATGAAAAGATATATGGGCTCCAAAGAGCCAAATTTAGAAGGCTCAGTTTTTAGTGTTTAACATAAACCAGTAAGCAGGTAAGAATGCAGGATGTGAGTGAGAGTAGGAAATAGCATGGCCTTTTCAGCAGTTCTGAGTCCTCCACTGGATCTCAGGAAACATCTCAATTTCTTCCAAAGCACATGCAGGCGTGGAGAGTGTGGAGCGGTGGTGCAGTGCTGTCTCAAGTCCTCTCTGCCTTCACACATCTGCCTTCACACCTGCAAACACATCTCAAAAGACCTCCTAGGTCACTTCTCCCAGCGTACCTGATGGTAACTGGGCACCTCTCCCACCCACCCCAACACCCTGGAGTTACAAACCTCTCTGGGATTCTCCATCATCCATGATTTTTAACGAAATCATGTTAATTGTCTAATTTAAGTATGTATACATTTTAAAAGT